TGAGTTGAAACTGTGTGTACATCCTAATTCTATTAATATAAAAACATATTCATTTAGTCGAGGAGACTTAATAAGTAAGTCTATAATAATGCAGCTATTTATAATGAATTGCTGTAGGTGATATAGTAACAGTAGTGAAGCAACTGTTCAAAATATCTGATACTACTGAATGTAGAATATGGGAACGTGACTTCACAGGCAAATATACAATATTAACTGATTTTCAACAAACAGTATCTCTTGCTGGTTTATATGGAGGACAAGTCAGTTATTACATCGATTTTAATGACAAAATAATTACTATTTTTTGCAACTGATAGATGTTAATGCTTGAAAAGAGAAATCCTGATGAAACTTGGCCAAGAGATTAAACTAAATAAATTTACATTTTTGTAGCTACATTGAGTATGATAGTAGAGCTGAACTTAGTCTATATAAATTATTATTATTTCCCATGGTACTTAGCTGTTAAAATTACTGGCTGTAGACTTTATATAAATCTAAATAATTAGCATAATATAGTATAAAACTTTGATCATTTTTATTAACAAGTGTTAGTTTATTTGTGCAGATGGGGCAAAGATGTTAACAAAGTGAGTGCTCTTTAGCTATTATTATCATAACATTATTATTATTATTATTATTATTATTTTATTATTATTTTTTGTTATTTTTTTTTTGTTATTCTCATAGCAACTTTTTCCCTTTTTCAATGTCATTGTTTTTTTCCAAACTTATTTTTTTTGCTTTTTCCTTTTCTTTTCATGTTTTACTATTCACATGCAGTTGCATTTAAGATTTGTGTCAGTTCTTAAAAAATAATTATCATTATTGAAAAATACCCATAACTTTTGCAACAATATCATCTGCTTGACCAAATTATATTCATAATGCTTCTATGTATGGCATGGTCAAAAATCCACAGCTGTTCTATAGTAGATAACAATATCTACTTCCTGCTAGCCTATAGTGCTAGTAGTGTAAAAATGAACAGGGCTAAACTTGAGCCATTACTACTGCCTGATTTAAAGGAGACTGGTAAAGAGTTAGGCCGTGGAGCTTATGGTGTTGTTACTGAAGTAATAGTTAGTGGAACAACCTGTGCTGCTAAGAAGCTCCATCCTGCTATTGTACAGGTAAAGGGAATTTGTACATAATGTCACTTTATAATTATTTTTTGTAGGGGTACACTTTGAAAAGATTTTGTGAGAAGTGCTTCTTCACAGTCAG